CGGGCGCTGAGACTGCGGCGAGCCGCCATCTTCCAAGTGGGCAGTGCGGCGGCTGCCTGCCCGCCCGCCATCTTTACTTCGGGTTTACAAGAGCCACAGCCAATCATAGGGTGGCTGTTCCAGCTGCGGCTTCATCCTTCCCACCCGGCGGCGCGAGCACAGGCACCGTCCCCTGGGCGAGATTGCAATGCGGTGTCCGCAACCAGTGCTCAGCAGTCCGCCTCCCTGACTGACACTGACTCGGCCTGGGCCAGCTGTGGAACCTCGAGGCTCGCGGGAGGGGGGTAGAGGGGGAGGAGGCAGTGCAAGCCGCTCCCCCGAGAGGCAGACCGACCAGCCAATCATGAGCGGATGCCGGCCCTCCCAGCCAGGGGGCTGGAATGGGGGGCGTAGCCGTGAGCCGCGCCACAGACCAATGGCAAGGTAGGTGGGTGGGGAGAGGAGGGCCAGCGTCCTTCTTAGCACGCCAAGTTTCCAAGTGAAAGGCGCGTGACTCTTGTGTATGTGCGAGGGGAGGAGGTGTGGCCAGCCGGGGCCCGACAGCCAGTCACAGATGAGAACTGTACGAAAGGGGGTGGGGCCCCCCGTCCGACTGCCAATGAGAAGGGGCCATTCTCGAGTCCGATGCTCCCGGAGGAGAATCCGTAGTAGAGCCCGGTACCTGGGTTGGCCGGGTTGGACTAATGTCCTGCGGAGCGAGACGGCCGGGTATCGCAGCCCCGCGCTGCGGGCTTCCGCGTGTTCAATGTCCGTGGAGAGAGGGCTGCGTCTTTCTACCCCGGTAGCCCTAGAAGCCGACTAGGGACGGCTTAAGATGCACAGGAACCTAAAATGAAGCCGGGCGACCGGCCGCGCCCCAATTTCTTTATTTGTGCGCGCCTCTCCGTCCGGGATAAGCGGTGGCGGTTTGGCCCCAGCACTACACGGACCCGCTCTGGAGCCTCTCACTTATCCCTGAAGGACAGGAGCATTCTGCAGCTCACGGTCACGTAGCGCCACCTGCCGGTTGCATGGGCGCCTTGCAACGTTTTTCAGGTGCGCCGCAAACCCGAAAAGGTGTGCAAAAGGTGGGAAGGTTAGAGTTAGGTCACTTTCCGTCTTCCAAGTCGTAAGAATCCCCTCGTTTTCTTGCTGAAAGTATATATTCCCTGGGACTCATTCTATACGTAATGAAATGGTAGTACCCAGGAATCTGTATTTCTACCAAGCACTGGGACAATTTCGGGAAATGGGAAGGGAGCAGATATCCTATGCAGACCCATAAAGGCTCATTCTTAATCACACTGACCAAACCCTGCTAGGTTCATCAGTCGCTCAGGAGAAAAAAAATCATTAAGACCTAGCTCTCTAGGACTCCCAAACCTATTCTGTATCTGGAGGAGACGTGGTAGCAGAGTAGTTGCCAAGTTTTGTTTTTCTTGCAAATTAAACGTCCAAAAAAGAATTGTGTGTGTGTGTGTGTGTGTGTGTGTGTGTGTGTGTGTTCTGCAAGCACATTTTCTTCCCTTTTGGTAAACCAAACGGAGTTTTTATTAATTTCTGGAAGAGATGACTGCAGTGATCTCCTCGCTGGTCTCTCCTCTTCTACACCTGCCCCCTTTCCTTCTCAACCCAGTATCCAGAGTGGACTTGTTAAATCAGATGCTGTCCTTCCTTGTTTGAAACTCTTCTCTGGCTTCCCATCTCATCACAGTAAAAGCCACAGTACCTACAATATCCAACAAGGCTCTAAAGGTTCTGACATCTTCCCTTTACTTTTGTACCCTCACCACCTGCTGCTCCAACCAGATTCTCCTCCCTGTTGCTTGTTCTCTCCAGGGATGCTTCCCCAGGAGCCTGTGCACTTGCTTCTGTTTCCTGCACAGGGGACTCTTCCCCCAGATGTCAGCACAGCACCTTAGTTTACCTCCTTCAAGACTGCTCAAAAACCACCTTTTTAAACTTGTAAACACTCCCCATACTCCATCTCTACTGTGTTTTCCTTAATTTATATCTGTCTCCTTCTTAGTACAACTTTAGCTTCCTGAGGGCAAGGATTTGGTCTGTTTTATTCCCTGCTCGGAGCCTGGAACAATGGTTGATGCCCAAAACAATATTTGTAAAATGTGAAAGAAATTAAAGAATTTTTATTCTGTTTATTTCAAAGAATGTCTCCAACTCTAGTTTCTAGCCCTTCAGTTTCTGGTGCTCTTTCCCCCACCCCCAATCTCATACTGCTGTACTTGAAAAATAAGTTCAGATTTTAAAAAAAAACTGATTCTCAGACGTGGCATGCATTTATAAAAACAGCATTATCAAAGCTTCAAAGAAAATAAAAGTTGAGATTTTCAGGGATATCTGACAAAGGTTAAGGCTAGATCTGGCCCTTCTAAGTGATCTCATTGAAAATAAAACTTTTAACTTCATAAAAAGTGTAAGTACAAGTGTGTTTAAGGGGCTATGAGGGAAGATGACTAAAGGCTGTCAAATGCTGAATGTACACTTTCAGAATAAGAGTGTGGAGAAGAGGGCGAGGAGAAACTTGCCAAACCTACAGACATCTGCGCATTTCACAGAAAGCTAGAACAGTCAGAAAAGCGTGGCATTCAGCAAGTTAGAAGTGAGTTAGAACTTCATAGCAAAATGTCAGAAAGGACCCAACAAGATAATTGACAGTATGAAATAAATGAAGCTCAAATTCACACAGGGAATTGCTGAGTGATGTTTATCCTGAGGGCAGGGGGAGATAATATTCTTCATGTACACTCGAGACACAGAACAATCTAGATACCCAAGCCAGGTAATTTTTCCTCAGCAAGTGGGATCTTCCTTCAAGTTTGAGGCTTTTTAGCTGGAGTTACCCTCTTTGTGAGGGGGCTGCTGGTATAGGCTTGACTTCCAGGGGCTTCCCAGTCTGTCCATCTGGTTGAATGGGGGGCAAGGGCAGCACCTGCTTCTAGGGACCTCTTTAAAAATCTGGCAGGAAAAAAATACAACAAGACCCTGAATTCTGAACATGTTTCACCTCCAAAAGGGGGCTACAAAAGGCCCGAAGTTGCTAAGTGGTTGCTGTGGGTGTCCAACCCGAGGGAGGTTCTGAATTTGACCTTAAGCACATCATTTAGGTAAAGCCAGAACCTCCTAGCAAATACCTTCCCTAACTAACCCTCCCTTCCTAGAATCCTCCATTGGATCCTAAAAGGGGAAGAAGAGTGCCTGTTCAGTTCTCTCATCTGCAAGGACTATGCTCCCATGTCTGCAGCTTCAGAGGTTTGGGGAGGCGCTGCATTGAGAACTATTTTCAGGAGTTTCATTTTAAAGATAGCAAGTAAAACACCAAATGACTCTCTACGTATTTTGTTTCTCAATATAAAGCTCTAATTTTATTTTAAAGCTTTTTTCTTCTCCCCCAAGAAAAATGCCTAGTTGTAGAAAAACATTCCAACTTATTGCTTCAACAGTGACAGTTTAATCTCACCAAAGCACCCGGTCTTCTGAGGAAAAAGAGGAACTGGGCAATGCTGGAGTTACCCAAACTTTCCCTCCAATCAAATCTGTTCCCCCTGAAACAACACTGTCCACTTGTTTAAAGACATAGAATTCTTTGAGCTCAACTGAGAATTTTTCACAACAGTGGACAAAAAAAAAAAAAAAAAAGAACGAAAAGAAAATCAGCAATACCACTTCCCACTCTGCCGCCTCCTCTTTCCCCTCCGGCCCTCCCTCGCTCTCAGGTGCACTGGACAGCACCCCACACCCCGCTGCCCTTCACCCAGGAAGACTGCCCCTCCTGAAACTCCCACAGGGCAGCCCCGAAGGCCTCCTTCTGCTGCTCCAAGTCCACTGTTTGCCCTGCTTTGGGCCCCCTGTCCTGACTGCCAAGCCCTGCAACTGCAGAATGTTCTAGAATCTTTGTTCTTTCTGATTGCTGTGCCACCCCAGTTCTAGCCTCCAGCTCAGTCTTGGACAGAGGTATCAAAATGGTCTGAGCTCCATTATCCTTATCACCATGAGTAATCACCCAGGTTGTGACTTTTGGTTTTAACATGTTGATCCATATGAATATTACCCATTCAAAAATTAAATTTAAAAACCACATTTGGGGAGTGAGGAAGAGGTGGGAGATTAAGGCAGACTCTGACAGGGGGTGGTAACTAGGAATGAGACCACTGGGGAAAGAACAGATCCTGAATGTCCAATTCTGAGCCCTCCGGTAATGTTCAGGCCTGCCTGGGTCTGATACCCGAGCTCTAATTTGTGGTTATGACTCTAGTCATAAAATGCCTGTTTGCCCATACCAGCTGAATTCATTCCTATGGTCTTTTTTCCAAATCTGGAGCAAAAATTCTACTCCAATAATAAGTTAAACCCCCAATGAATAGACAAACAATATGCCAGACCTCAGTGGGAAAAAATTCCACTCCTATTTTTAGTTTCTCTGAGATACCTATTTGTTTTATTTTAAGCATCGCTAAACTGAAGATTTACCTTATTTCTCACCATTTATTGATACCACATCTCAATTCTCTGCTTCCTCTTTAAACTTTAAATACAGCTTGTTTCTTATTTCTCACCCCATTTCTTT